CAAATGGCAGGATTTGGAGTCCTGATATTTGGACATCTTGCCACGGATTGGCTAACCTCAACATGACTCTACCACTGACCTTGTTTGTTTTGCAACGCTGATGTTTTATCTCCATAAATAACTCAAGCCAAAAGGTGTTCTGCTGGTTTTGGAGTTGCTAATGCTATTTGTTAGCTTCTACTAGTCAAGACTTGCTCTGCTGTTTCCTGGATGCTAAAACAGTTACAGCCTTCCCCATCACGAGTGAAGATGGGTGACTCCATGAATGTTAAATGACAGTGTGATGTAGATTTGTCAGGCCTTTCCATTCCTAGAGTTTCACAGTCTATTTCCAATCAGAAGCTAATGCATGAGATAGGTGTAGGAGACTATTTTCAGGTTCAGCCAGCATGAAAAAACTCAAAGTGACCGATCATTTTCAAAAATAAGTACAAAATGGTTTCTCAGTGAAGGACCTTTTTTGAAACGGATATATGTTGCTTTAACTTTTAAGGAGTCCATTGTCACCAAAGACTCTACTCAAAAACTTAATGTCCGTTAAGGAATTTAGCAGACAATATTTTTCAAAGATGTTTAAATATAAAGATGCAGTAATTTTAGGTTACTCACTGACATGCAAATTCCCCAACCATGTACACTACATGCTTTAGCAGTGCTTTAATTACTTCTGCTTTTTGCTCATTCTCAGCATCGGACTCCCTAAACACACAGAGCAAGCCCACGCCCATAGTGTTGAGCAGGTCTGATCAGTTGTTCTTGCAGGTTTTTATGGAAATTCTATCAGAAGCTTCTCTTTCTTATTTCCCCTGACATGCAAATAAGAGCAGATCTAAGAAGCCAATTGAATAATCAATTAGAGGCCGATCGATATGTTTTTTTAAGGCCGATGCTTATGCCAATTTTTAAAGAATTTTGTTGCTGTTGGCCGATATTTAAAGCTGATTATTAAGGCCGATATATAAACATTTTAGCAGCACACTGATTGTGAACACTCACTCTGTGCAATATACATCAAGTCAATAAATATCTATTGAACTTCAAATATAAATTGAATAAATAATAAATATGTTTTGACAATGCAGCATAATGTTCTTTGGGTGGCAGGATGGAATAAAAAGAGAATGTCTCTGTGCAACGACCTGGTAAATCTTAATATCTTTAGGTATTTTGCAATTTAGTTAATTTGTTTTGTGTCTAGGGCATGTTTCAATGAGAAATAAGGACTGAAATGTACTTGACTACGTGCTTGACCTGCTGCTCAACAGATCAAACTGCTACTAGATATCTATATTTCCCTGTGGGCTCAGCCTAGTTGTACAGTTTGAGGCATATATAGACCAGCCACTCCCCAACTAGTAGAACCTGTGATAAGATTGACCTTGACTGAATGCTTCACTGCAGACTAAAGTATGGTTTTACAGCATTCCTGAGATACATAATGAGGGCAGCCGACAGCCTTGCCTGGGCTCGGGACAAGATAATATTCTGTCAAAGCATGGGGGGGATGCGATCAGACATTTATTGATAGAGATTATACGAGTTGGGTTGGTGGGGGGGTTGCTTGCCGATCAACTCCCTCACAGAGATTCCCTGAACAGCATTGGCGGCGCGGGGGGGGGGGGGGGGGGGGGGGGGGGGGCCTAAAGCTACCCCTGGATTAGTCAGTGCACCCCCATAGCACCCCCAAGTAAATATTAGATTTTTTTTATTTTAACAATTTAATTTTGATTTAACGTGTGGATGTGATAATATTTAACATACAAAACAAAAATAATCTGTAAATTATCATATAGATTAGAGCCCTGCACGGGCCTAAAATCTGAGCCCGTGTCCGGCCCGAGGGGATTGAGCCCCAGCCCGACCCGGTCCGAAAAGGTTTTCAGGATTCTCTGGCCCGACCCGAGCCTGACTTTTTTTTAACCAACTAAATGAAAACAAAGTGCGTCAATCCTGACTAATGTGTTAAAAGACGTGCAGGATCCGATCAATTTGTTTTTCCCTCATTTACAGTCACGGAGATAACGGCACAGGCTCTGGTGTTAATCAAGTTAAATTTTCTCTCTCCAACAATTTTCACAAGAAAACAAAACAGTCAAAAGCAGGACTTGTGTTGTGTTGACCGGATAGTTCCCATATTTGACCATTTATTTTGATGGAGAAAGACTAGAATGAATTACCAAGATGCATGCAGACGAACTGACATTTTATTCGTTATGCACATTGCAGATGTAGCTAAATCACCCAAGAAAAGATTCCCATCTGAACATCTGAGCTGGACGTTGCTCAGCGCAGCTCACTGTCAGCGCATATGTGCACAGCGAGCTGAAGTTGTGGAGATTGGCTTGGAGCGCATCGCAGAACCAGGGCGCATGCGGGAAGATTCCTCCCACTGAAGCGAGTGCTTTCCAAACCCTGTCTCTCAGAGAGACTTGTCACTTACAAAATGTTCCCTGATTATGAAACTTTGGCTGAATAGGGCTTGTTCCTGTCTCCAATGTGGCAACGCATCCAGGAGCCGTCTGAGGAGAAGCCCAGAATCTCATCTCCTCTTCAGCTCATGAGCGCATATGATTACGCACAAGCGTGAGCCGTCAACCCGGTCCCACAGTAAGACCGGGTTGGGCCTGTTCAGGTTTACGCAGACAATCTTTACATAGAATTGACTTACAGATATAAAATTAATTCAGTAAAATATAAAGCATTTTATATAAATATCCATTCATTATTTTACAAGCACAGAGAGCCGTATCAGATGGATGGAAGAGCCGCGGGTTGCCGACCCCTGGTATAGCCTATAAAATGACATGTTTTCTCCAGGACCAGAGAGGACGCAAACTCAATACATCTCTTTTATTGTGAGGTAATAATTTCTCTGAGTTTTGCGGTTGCGAACGGGAATAGACATGCACGCTGCAGTTGCGGGCGGTAATTGTCAGAAATTCAGCGGGAGCGGGCAGGAGCGGGATGAAGAAAAAAGTCCCGCGCAGGGCTCTACTGCTGCGTTTAAGTGTTTCAATTTTTTTTATGAATTCGATTAAAAATAAATGCGCCCCGCCCGGCCCATGTCCGAGGTAATTACACAGTCGTTGGCCCGAAGTCCGGCCCTCGGGCCAGGCCGACCCGAGGGCCTAGGGCTTCAGTGCAGGGCTCTAATGTAGATAGTACAAACTTAAACCAAAACAGGAAATTGATGTTAACCTTTGACCTCATGTTCCACCTGCGAACGAGTGAAAGGTAGAGCTAGTGGTAAAATGGATCGGATTTTGTTGCCCAAATTTCCACGGGTTCAGTCAGAAACGAATGAATCTTTGGAAGTGATCTCAGACCCACAAAAACCTACGGATCTGGATGAAGAGAGTCAACCCTCAACCGTTGCAGCAGTTGAGGGTTTTGCAGCTGGAAATGCTAACACTAATGTTAGCTAACCTTGCAACACTATAGATGGGTTTCTGTGTGGCTGTATGTGTTTATGATTTCATGGAAAAATCAGTGATTGTTCATGTGTTTATGATGTATATTAATGATTGTTTCAGGTGTTGTTGAGGTTTTGTAAACACATGTGTATCTGCTAGTGTTGAAGATGTTTTAGAGAACAATAGGTACGCATGACCACTTCCTTCATAGCACCCTCAACAAAAAGACTAGCTCCTTCTGCGGAAAAAAATTTCTGGAGTTGCCACTGCTGAGCAGGGGCAAATGTGTGTGGCCGGACGTTCTTTCATGGAGCAGAACGGTCCCGTCGCCCCACCTCACCATCAGCGAGCCTTTGTTTTAAGCCCGAATCACACTGTGGGTTTTTCAACTTTCGCTTAGCACTGCTCAAGTCACACTGTGAGGACTCCAGAAAGATGGCACATTGTCCAAGATTTCAGCGCACGACGTCTCGCTCCAACAAGACGCTCTAACGTCACAAGCACACCCTCCTGAAAAGCCTACATCACTAAAAGCAGTCAGCTAACTTAACAATAATGCTGAAAAGAGAAAAAAACATTGCCATTAACACTTACAGTATTTTGTTAGGCTCTGAACCAAACTCCAAAAAGGATTGTCCACTGTTGCTAATTGTACTCTCACATTGTACTCACGTCATTAGTTGTTCGAGTCAATCCCTAGGAGTATTTTCATTGGTCGATTGCAGATGGGAGTTGTGGGTTTTCAAGCAATGCTTGAAGACTGTTGCAGGCTGACTTTGGTCATGAGGTCGTAAGCTGTCACCGAGCCAGTCACACTGGATGGCCACAGACCCCAAATCACCCTCACGTTCACCCTTTTTGCCACAATTCTGTTAACGGCAAGAGATTTGTCTAGGACGGCCGAAAAACGCACTGTGTGGTCCGGACTTTATGGGGAATGTTACGCTAAGCCATGCCTCACACGCGGATAAACATACATGTTCATCTCCTCTGAAACTTTCCTTTTATGTTATTTTTGATTTCTTTAACAGTTCTGTTTGCAACTGAGCATCATGAATCCTTTTTCACCATCAAGGTTGCACACAGAATCAGCCCAAAACTTTACAGTTCTGGATATGAAAGAGGTTAGTGAGGACTTACAGAGCATTATTGACTGTTGTACTCGATGCAGAATGTGTTAATATTTTTTATTTACTCCTTTTCCACTCAGAATACAACATTAGTTCTCTGGTTACTATTGCCACCAAGACCTTCTTACGCTACGACAAACTCAAAGATCTCATTGACAGCATTAGGCAGTTTTATCCCAACGTCACCATAGTGGTAGCAGATGATAATGAACACCCGCAGCCAGTGACCGGTCCTCACATTGAACATTACATCATGCCATTTGGAAAGGTAAAGATGCTTCCTCTAGCATTGTGAAACTCACTGTTGGTAAATTGTATTGATTTCTATTTTTTTTTTACACAGGGTTGGTTTGCTGGAAGAAACTTGGCAGTGTCTCAGGTGACTACAAAGTATGTGCTCTGGGTTGATGATGATTTTATCTTTACTTCAAATACCAAACTGGAAAAGATGGTGGAAATCCTGGAGAAAACCACTCTGGATTTGGTGAGATGCCGCTTTTTTTTTTTTTTCTGATGTGCAGGTGAAACTTGAAAAATTAGAATATGGTGCAAAAGTCTATTTATTTCTGTAATTTAACTTAGACTGAGAGACCATTTAAAGGCTCAGGAACCCTTTGCAGGTGTTTTGGCGTAACTAGCTTCTTATAGAGTGTGACACTTTGAGGCTAGAATCTTTCATACCTCTTTTTCCAGTCAGAGGAGATGGTGCCTATCTGAGTACAGCCTAAACAGGTCACTAGTCCATCACAGGGCCATGCAAAAACACTCACTCACTCACTCACTCACTCACTCACTCACTCACACCAAGTAACATTTAGAGTCGCCACTTAACTGAAACGTGCATTTTTTTGGCTTGTGGGATGAAGCTGAAGTATCATGGTGACCCATGCATGTATGAGGGCGAGCATGCAAACTCTGTGCAGAAAGATTACATCCAGGATTTGAACTTGCAACATTTTTGCTACGAGGCAGCAATGCTACCATCTATATCACCATGCAGCCCCAGTCAGAAAACTGATGATGTTTTCCTGATAATGTGCTGTAGTTGTTCACTTCCTTTAAAAAAACACAACATGACCCCCTGCAGACACAAATACTGGTTTATCTAAAGAATTTAGAAAATTGTGAAAAGGTTCAATAAATGATGTCAGTAACTTCAGAAAGTGGTAGTTTATATATACGTTCTTTTACTGATGTGCATGGTTATTGTTGGACCCTAGGTGCAAGAAAAATGAGCAGGAGGTTGACAACGTTAATAGAAAGAAGTTTAGTGAAACCTGGAACTCTAATGAGCAAGTATTTGTCAGGAAAACTGGAAAATGAGTGATGAAATGAATGATGGTGGCTTAAAAACTGGAAAAATGACTGGAAAAGCAGGTTAAACAATAGGGGCAAATGAGGTAAACAACTGGAGGATCTGTCAAAATGTGAATGAACGAGGATGTTTTTAAACAGTGGAACTTTGATTACCAAAGAAGGAAAGTTTTAGCAGATAATGCTGGAAACGGGAGTAAATGGAGCGGAGGAAAAACTGAACTAAATAACTAAAACAAACTGATTATAATTTGCCATTTACACATATTACAAGCCTTTATTGAGTTTTGATGGTTTTGGCTCATAGAAAACTCAAAATTCAATGTCTCAGAAAATTTGAATGTTGTGAAAAAGTTAAATACTGGAAAAACTCACACTACCACACCCTAAACGGCTAATTAACGAAACATCCAGAATGCACTGACCAGTCTTGACAAACTACTGATCAGTGGTGGCGTGTCATCTGCTGTTGTTGGTCCACAGTCAATGCAGACATCTGACAGGACATGTTGGAGCTCTTCATGCTTTCTTCTGCTGACGAGCCTTATGGAGAGGCTGATTTCATTTTCCAGCAGGACATTGACCATAGTGTTCCTGTGCTTGACTGGCCAGTAAACTGCCCTGACCTAAACCCTGCAGAGAATCTATGGGGTACTGCCAAGAAGAAAATGAAAGACACCAGACCCAACAATGCAGATCACCTGAAGGCTCCTATCAAAGTAGCATGGGTGTAGGAGACATATAAATGTACCGTGTCAGTCATAAGTGTATAACTATTGTGTTTGGGTATATTTTTGTAAAGCGTAGATCATCTCCTCCTTGAACCGTCACCTTATCATGGTGGAGGAGTTTGAGTGCCCTGAAGATCCTAGGAGCTATGTTGTCTGGGGCACTTTGTGCCCCTGGTAGGATCTCCCATGACAAATCGGTCTTAGGTGAAGGTTGAGACAAAGAACGGTTCAAAGGATCTTTCATGGAGGTAAAGTCAAAGAGTCGGAGTACCCGGCCCGGAGGGTTACCGGGGTCCCACCCTGGAGCCAGGCCTGGGGTTGGGGTCTGTGAGCGAGTGCCTGGTGGCCGGGCTTTCGCCCATGGGGCCCGGTCGGGCCCAGCCCGTACCGGATACATGGGCTCATCCAACTGTGGACCCACCACCCGCAGGAGGAACATGAAGGGTCTGGTGCAATGTGGATTGGGTGGCAGACCAAGGCGGGAGTCTTGGCGGTCCGATCCCCGGACAAGAAAACTGGTTTTTGGGACATGGAACGTCACCTCGCTGGCGGGGAAGGAGCAGGAGCTTGTGGCAGAGGTTGAGCGGTACCGGCTAGATATAGTCGGACTCACCTCGACACATAGTATTGGCTCTGGAACCCAAGTCCTTGAGAGGGGTTGGACACTCTCCTTTGCTGGAGTTGCTCCAGGTGAGAGACGAAGGGCTGGGGTTGGCTTTTTGTTAGCCCTAAGACTCTCTGCCTGTGTGTTGGGGTTTACCCCGGGGGACGAGAGGGTAGCTTCCTTGCACTTTCGGGTCGGGGAGCGGGTCCTGACTGTTGTTTGTGCTTATGGGCTGTTGGGGTTATTAGGAGCGAACAATTCGTAAGCTTTAACTTACTTTTGGATTCTTCAATAAATTCTGTAAATATGGAACTATTTACTGATTTATTAATTAATTAAGATATTCTTAGATATCTTCGGGGCACCACCCTTTAATTAGAAAGGGAAATGAATCCAAAACTCTTATCAGTCTTTCTTGAAATTCGTAGAATCCTCGGAGCAGAGACTTCTCTTCGACACAACAAAGCTACTGGACACAAAAATCTGAATTTTATAACATTTAATTAACAATTTGTCAAATGAATAAACAGTGGAATAGATGAATAATAACCGTGTGATATGATTGAAGATGGATGTGTTTGCATGTGATGGAGGATGTATGAATGGGGTCCTTTGTTCTCACAAAGGAGTAGTGTGTGTGTGTGTGTGTGTGTGTGCGTGTGTATGGATTCAAAATGGAGTCTTGAATACAAGATGGCTGACCCCTTTGTCTGGCTAAAGTGTGGGTGGCAACTTGCACTTTAACTTCCAAAGCACTTAGAATCAGTAGTAACTTAACCTTAAATCACTCAAAACATTTCAAAAGATCATGAAACAACACAAAAGATTAATCACAAATTAATATCTTTTAGTTTCAGCCTGGCCATGACAGAAACCATTTTAAGATACCAAACAATGATCAATAAGCAGTTTATTCTTTCAAAATGACCCGACGGACGTGTTTGGGACGAAAGAGGAAAACACGAAGCTACTTTTTAAGCAATAGCGCGGTTTTATTGCTTATTCTGGACTATAGAGTTAACGAAAGAAGAAGGAGAGAGAGAAAGAGATGAGTTGCTGATCACCAGAAAAGCGAGGCGTCCCTCCCTCTTTGATTTGACGGTTCTCCGTGTTTCTCCGCAGCTTTCGGCGTCGTCCGTCGGTTTGATGCTTTCTCCGTTGTTTGGCGTTCACGAGTGTTTCTCCACGGGCTGGACAGAGACAGCAAAGTTTATTTCTGTGCTGAGTTATAACTTACAGCGTGCTTGATGGAGTTGTTGCTTTCCTCCGCAGTTCTGTGTCCTCAAACATCAGCTGGAGGGGAGCAGAAACGAGCAGATCTGATGGGCTTGCAGTTTAGTTTCCAGCAGTTCCGTGGGCTCGACTCGGGCACTTAGAGCTTCCGCGTGCTCAAGTTGTCGGAGCGTTGACAAGCGTGTCCTAACCGCCAGGTATCCTGGGCAAAAGAACGAGGATTCTTTGTCTCTGCTGAAGATTTATGGTCTTAGTTCGCGGGAAAAGCTCCACGGCTTCCCGCACATGCGCAGAACGTGTTTCTGGTACTAGGCGGTGACATCACCCAATGCTTCCGTGTGCAAAGCATCATGGGAAATGAAGTTTCTTGGCGCTGATGTGATTATTTGCTTTTCAGAGCAATTTAAGCACAGTCATTTTGGAGAAAATCACTGCATAGTAATTTCCTCATGAGGTCAGACCCTCAACATTCCCCCTTTTGGTTTCGGGGATCGCGCCCAAAGCTCGATCGTCGGAAGCACAGATGGGTTTGTTCCTCATGAACGTAGGTCGACTTGATTGTCGGAAACACAGGTGGGTTTGTCCCTTAGGACGTTGGTCTCCTTGGACGCCTTTGTCTTTGGTCTTTGTCTTGGATCCTGGCGCCTTTGGTCTTTGTCTTTGTCAGGCACAAAGAGGATAGGAAACGGGATAGTCCCCAACGCGCATAACGAGAAGAAGCCACTCACGCAGGTGGTACGCAATGATGATGTCGTCCATGCGAGAGGTAGTAGTGTAGAAGGAGGAAGGTCGGTGGGCGGTTAACTCCACGAGTGGACACAAAGGCATCTCACCGCCGGCCATACAGTTCAGTTTATGGATCACGCGGTGATGTACGAGGTCCATAGTTCGCAAACGCGCATTGACCTATGTGGTCCCAAGATTCCCCCCTTTTTGGTCCAAAGGGTGGATCAGGACAGTCTTTGGGCTAAAACAAGGACCATAAACTAAGAGGTACTACAATGTGCTGGTGCGTCAGACAGAGTCATTGACAGACTGAGCTGGGCCGGCACATAACCACTAGTTAATATGTGACCAAGTAAGAAAGAAAAATACAGAAAACCCAAAAAAAAAAACATATAACCTCCAAGAAAATTCATAGCAACCTGGAGGTCTCATAAAATACATTCTTAGGTCATACAGTCAGTGTGTAGCTTATAAAGAATGTGACATACTGCAACACTCAGATAAATATGTGAGGTAGACTAAAATGAGAACTACTCTTAGGTTTACAGAATAACAAAGAAAATGTTGCTCACCCCCTTTAGACAGGTGTGGTACATTCACGCTTGGAGTCTCCCCGAACGCGGTCAAGAGGCACACCGTAGGTGAGCAAGAGCATCTTATCTTGGAGTTTCTTAACACGCCTGTAGGTGGACTAAGCCATCACGGCCGTGATGAGCCATCCCATCCCCAGGGCGACCAATGTGCAGATTAAAGTCGTATAATCTGTGTCAATGTAGCGTCTTGGGCGTCAAAGTAAGTTCACGCGGGTTTTGTGTGAACTTAACAAATTTGGTTCCTTCAAGCAGTAATTGTTGGTCAATTTCTAAATCGAAGGCA